CCATAATAGATGTCCAAAAAGTTCAGATTTTTCAGATGCTTGGTTAATTCAAATCAGAGTTAAATTTGGAAGTTTTCCCTTTTTATCATGTTTTTGCATTAACAGTTGCTGGTGTGCATGTGAAGTACCAGCAGTCCCTTACAACAAGCAATTACATACATTCTCCTAAAATATGCCAACGATTCAGCAACAGCATGCATAAACCAGGCCCAATCCCAAAGAAGAGCCTTGTTATCAAGAGACTCTGAACAGCATTATTCAGTTGATGCTAGCTGTAAAGCAGCCATGACTGTGGAAGGCCATGGTATTTTATGGAGGGAAATGCATTAACTGAAGCACTAAACCTTCAGGAAAATCTATGTGTTTTGTCCACAGGAAAAACATTTCTTTGGTTTCTCAAAAGACAACTAAGGAAACTGGCTAGCAACAACATCAATTCTGGTTCTTTTGTAGATAAAGATTACATTATATCTTAGCAACGATAACAAGAAAGCAATATGCTTTTCCCTTTTTAGCATCTTTGTAGACTTTTAGCTGAGCCACTGTGGGACAGAAATCTGGTGAACCACTGGTACAGCAGGAAACAGAAAGTCAAAAAGGCATTTGCGGGGACCTTGGCCAACAGGCTGCCAGCTTATGCCAGCTTTCCTCAAAAAAGAGTAACTGATTTAGTTCTGATTTTATGTCTAGTTAGAAATGCCAGTTTGAGCAACACTTGCAGAAAAATATTGAGAATCTAGGTCTCAAAGTCTTGTAAAATTTAAACTGCTAAACCAGAAGGACTTACCATGTGGAAGAACTTAAAAGATACTGAGGATACCTACACTTCAGCCTACTCAGCTCTTTCAATATGGTTGAAAATGTAACAAATTAACGTTGAGAGTGGTCTTAAAAATCTTGATATGAAAGACAGAGCACTCAGGAAAAGCACAATTAGTGCACTGGAAACCAAAAACGAAAGGAAACTAGTCCAACACAATGAGCTGAAACCAGGCATACAGTTAAAGGTAAGAAAGAGAGGAGAGATTAAAGGAGTCTTACTGAAGTTTCTTTTGCAGAAGAGATTTTAGGATGAGAATCTCAAGCTCTGGTGAAATAGTCATGTAGTCTCTCATTTTAAAGTAACATAATTCATTTCTAATCCTTGTGGCTAAATCAAAAAGCTGTCAGAGTTCTGATCTAGGTTCAATATAAGGGTTAAAAAATCAGGAGAAAAAGAACCAAAAGTACACAAAGTCTAGGCAATCAAACCAGAAATACCACTTTTGAACTTAGCATTTTGAGATAAGTTTATGATCTGAGTGGGTGAGTTTGGATCAAAATCAGAGATACAGTAATAAGCATCCTCTTAAAAAACAGTACTCCAGCTAACTTTTTTGTATAAAGACTTACGAATTCAGAAATTTAGTTACTGGCAGTTAATTATTTCAGGCTTATCCACAAGAGTGAGTTTGCTTCTGTATCACAGGAGGAGATATAGACAGACTCAGAGTTGCAGAAAGGAAGAAGGAAGCAAAGGATTCCCTATCAGTAACTACCCGTGTTCAGGGAGCGTGCAAATATTCAGTATAGCCCTTCTAAAGCCCATTAAGTTGGCTGGCTGAGCCAGACTGCTTGAGGGCTCTTCAAACTCTTCTTGACTATTTTCACTTACAGACAACCCCCATGAAATCATGTATTTAATGTAACTACGCATAACACTTCAGAACTTCACAGGCTTTCGCAGTGTGACAAATAAGCCTTCATTCCGCCATCACATTTTTTCCCTAGAACATCACGCTGCAGTTTCTCTTTCTATTTAGTTAGGCTGCTTAAATAAATAAATATCAGTCCCTCTAGCGCTGGATCATTCATATTTAAATTATTAGTCTACAGATAACTGTTTTCCGCCTTCTGTATTTAGTCCCTGGGTCTCTCTTACATATCCACTTGTGTTCAGGATTATTAAGAATTTACAGCCAGAGCAAAGCCCCATTTGTCATCCAAATTTTGCTGTACTTGGATTAACTCAGTAGCACTTGCACACTGACTTAAGGAGAAAAGCTAATCTCAGTTCATGCCATACCAGAGTGCTTTTCACCATGTAACAGCGAATCTCTTCCACTGGAATGTGAATCACTTCTAATGCCATCCAGATTTTTACATTTATTGAGTTTTTCTTGACTAAGTCTGACCTTGGGTTTGCCTTCATTAGGTGTTGCACTGTTCAGCTACTTGGCAGTACAGACTAACAAGTTTCAGTTCACCTTCAGGCTGGGAGCCCTGCCTCCTGAGCTCTGGCAAGAAAGCTTTGGCTATTTAAAACATCACTGCCCTCACCTTTCCGATGTCCTGGATGTTACTGCTCTGGTGACAGAGTAGCAGGGCACTGCCTCCTTGCTTGTCTTTGGCCACTGGACTGCGCATTGACCAAGCAGGGGATCAGCTTTCAGGGACTGGCACAAGCTTCACCTGGGGAGGCATCCCCCAACCATGAGGAGAGGCAGGCAAACAGGTGTTTTGTTTTAACTCATGCTCAGGAGGCCTTACAGGGCTTTTACCCATGATGGCATAGGAGCATCAGAGAGCATTGGCAAGGCTTCTGAAGGTAGAATGCAGTGCAGTTACCACCAGATTTTAGCTGTATGCTTCCTAAAACAGGAAAAATCTTGGCTAGAGCCTCATAACACTCACACATGCTACTTGAAAGCCCTGATCAAAACCACCTTGGTTGTTTGGTTAATGTAGGCAGCTCTTGATCCTCACCTCCACAGTAGCTCACAGATCTATCTCAAAGCAAGGCTATTAGTCTCACAGAACTTGCAAAACGTAGATGCCTGCCTTTGGGTATGTCACTGTGTTCCTGGTACACATCTGTGTGTTGGAAAGCACTTGCAGAACAAATCACTTCAATACAGAGACAATGGATATATGTGAGAATTCGGTTACACAGCTGCCAGCTGGGTATTTCAGTGCAGGAGAAAGTGCAGGTGCTATGCAGACACGCATTAGCCATCCCATTCTCTCTACCTCCAGAAAATGTAACACATTTACATTATCAGTTGGCATATGCTCACTAAAGGCATGGTTTGTGCTCACTCTTAGCTCTCACAGACATTAGAGCTGTAGCTGATCACCAGGCTGGAAATTCATCTTCTTTGACTCACCCTCATATTAGGTATTCACTTTTCTCCCCAGAAGCTGCTGTAGGAGCTTATGATTATAAAGAGAAACCACCTCTCCCTGGGAGCAGGGGTGCTGATACTTGAATGGAACCATGCTTTTGTACTTCATCTGCAGTGAGAGGTGACACAGAAAGCGGAGCCCTGCTGTAGCATATTCCCTTTCCTATACACACAGTGGATCACAGATCTTTCTACTGGATCTACTGGGCAGAAACCAGCAGGAGCGTGTGGAAAAACCAATCCACTTCCTGAACAGCTTTGGAAAGCACCACTGTTGACCACTCCAAAGAAAAAACTGTGATCTCCACATATCCTTCTGCCTTCTGTAGGCTTTGTTCCTGTGCTGTCCATTCTGTTTCTTTATCCTTCAAGTTATTCTTCTGTTCCTTCATCTTCTGAAATATGTCTTACCATACTGAGTTATGGTGTCATGTCAGTTCTGTGGCGTGCATACTCCTTCACTCATGCTTCCCCAGTCCCCTCATCTCTACTCCAAACAGCTTAAGCTAGACCCAGCTACATAAGCAAACCCCTGGGCTTACCCTGCCCTGATGCAGAGGTCTACTCATGAGGACGAGCTGTATCCAAACCATTGCAGCACAGGCTTAAATGCTTCCTCGAAGTTCAGAGCTCTTGCTCATGAATCCCTCAAAGCAGAATGTCTTCTCTGCCCAATAAAATTTGTGGTGCCACATGGGGGAGCTTGTGCTGTGGCTAAAGCTCATCACTTCCAGATTGAGAGAAAAGGACAGCTCAGCAGTATTAACAATTTCAGCTGCTGAAAAAACTCTCTTCTGCACAGGCTGGTTGAAAATCATGACATATGCATACATAATGCACACTCATTTTAATAAAGGTGTTACTTTTCAAAATTATTGTAGGTGACAGTCGAGTCTGCCGTGAAAAAGCAGTCAAGCCTATAACTCATAAACTGTAACTCATAGCCTGGTAGAATCATAGAATCATTTAGGTTGGAAAAGACCTCTAAGATCACTGAATCCATCCATTAACCCAGCACTGCCAAGTCCACCACCAAACCATGTCCCGAAGTGCCACATCAAATAAATAGTGAGCAAAATGATAGATTTAATAAAATGAAAATTCCTTTATTATAAAGGGATAAGCGAAGCAAATGAGTAATGAGGATCAGTTCCAGATGTACACTGAGATGATTTATATAAACAACAACCAGCCTGGAGTTAACCCTTAAAATCACAACCATGTCTTAAGAGACAAAAAGAGAGTTAAAACTTGGCTCTCCAAGTCATTAAGAAAATAAGCCATCTGGTAGCTTGAGATAAAAAACGACATAGGGTTTTTGGTTGGGTGTTTTTTTAGTGGGGGAGAGGTGTTGTTAGGTTGTTGTAGTTGCTGGTTTTGTCGTTTTTTTTTTAACCAAATAATTCGACAGCAGTTTGTAGGTATGAAAAAGCCTGACCAAGTGGAAAGACAGATGGGGGCAGTCCAGTCCTGAGCTTCACCCTCCAAACCACCCCGCAGGGTGGTAGTCGAAGACCTCTTACAAAGTATTGCATTGCCTTGTACGCAAAACATCTCGCAGTTCGGACAATTTACATCAAACAAAGCACCGCACCGAAGGGACGCCGTAGGGCGGGCGGAGGGGTCGGGCTCACCATCGGCACGTTCCACATTGCCTGGGGGGAGGAGGGCGGCCGAGGAAAGCAGGCGAGAAGCGGGAGGAGGCGCGATCCCCCCCTCAGGGCCGCCCGGCACCCCCGGGCCGAGTGGGGAGGGCCGGGCCGGGGCGGGGCTGGGGCGGCCCCGGCCCCATAAGAGGCGCCGGGCGGGGGTGGCTGCACTGACAGCGGCGGGACCCGCGGCGGGAGGCAGAGAGAGAAGGAAGGCGGAATGCAGGCGGTGCCCGGGACCATGGCGGCCCGGCCCTTCAAGCTGAGGAAGAGTTTCGGTAGGGGCGGCGGAGGCGCGTAAGGGCTGCGCGGGGGCGGAGGGGCCGCGGCCACGCCTAACTCTCCTTTCCTCTCTTCGCCTCTGCCGCGCAGCCACCCGTCTGGAAGAAGTAGCAGGAATCCGGGCGAAGTTCCCAACAAAAATCCCGGTAAGTCCTCTATTTTGTTTTCGGGTGGTTTTTGCCAATGTTTGAAAAAGTAGCGTTGGGAACCTCTCTCGAAAATGTGGGAGGGGAGGGGATGTTTTAGGTTTGGTTGAGCATGACTCTTAATTGCAACAGGTAATTGTTGAGCGATACCATAAAGAGAAATACCTTCCTCTCCTGGACAAAACCAAGTTTCTGGTTCCCGAGGAGCTGACCATGACACAGTTCATAACCATCATCAGGTGGGTAGCTGGGGCTGGCTGCTGCTCTGCAGGCAGGTATTTCCTAGTGCTTTGCTGGGACATCTTGCTTGCCTTGCTAGAGAGGAGGATAAAGGTGTTACTAATGTAATGGCTTCCCTTTCCTGCAACTTTTCAAAGAAAATGAGCAGTTGTTTTTACAGGTGCATTTGGGGAAAAAATGGGGTCTATGCTTTTTTTGAATCCTAAAGTCTTCTTTCTTCTCACTAACTGTAGTGAATTAAGAGTCCTGTTCTGCTTTCTTCCTGCTTGATGGACTTGGTACTGGGGCTCTGTGATTTTGTTCTGTTTATGACTGTCATTGCCTTGCTCTCTTGCTGCATCTAGCTGAATGTGCTCAAGTTCAAAGCACTCCTAAGTTTGAGTGGCATGAAATGTGCTTCTAAATTGATTTTAATGAAACGTTACAGGGAAGAAGTCTCCCAAAATATTGTTATTTTCTGACAAAGCATGAAAGCTATGTGCTTTCTAGCACACTTCTTAAAGTATAGGAAAAGACCTTTCTAGATTATAACTCTTGTAAAAGATGGTTTTGGCTCTTGGACAGTTTAGATCTTGATCTTTGTATGTAATGTGTGCGACAAGGACTCTTCTTTTGAGGGTAGACTTTATAGTGAGTGTAACGGACTTGTGATGAAATCCTTCATAAAATCTGTACTGCAGAAGCTTTTGGGTTCCACTTGAGCTTTCCCCTGGTAATTGTGAACTCAAAGCCCATGCTCAGTAGTACTCATAGTCTTACCGTGCAAGCCTTTCCTCAGAGCACAAGCCTTTTGGCTTCCAAACATAGTTAACTTCCTGCTAATGAAGACATTAAACCACAAAATGACTTTATGCAGAATTTCTTGTACATAGTTCATGCAAATTGCTTTGCTTAATGTATTTCGTAGACTGAAGTTGAAACCATAACAAATTTGCTAATGCTTAATCCTTTATTTCTCCTCCCTTTTTCAATTAGAAGCAGGATGGCTCTAACTGCTACACAAGCTTTCTACCTTCTGGTGAACAACAAAAGCCTAGCCAGTATGTCTTTGACAATGGCAGAAGTGTACAGGGACTACAAAGATGAAGATGGCTTTGTGTACATGACCTATGCTTCCCAGGAGATGTTTGGATGCTTTTTACCCACTGCTCAAGGGAAAACTATGGAATGCTTTCAGAAAACTTAAAGTTGGGTCCATGTGCTGCAGCGAAGCAGTTTGCTATGAATCATGCCTGTGACATGAACCTTGGAGACGCTCCTTCCACTGTGAGCTCTTGAGCTCTGTAGTGAGGAGTTATGACCCCAAAGCTGGCAGGACCAGCTTAAGGCAGAAAAGGTGGTACACTTTTCCTAGGTAATAATTTGGATATATATTTTTATATTTGAAGACACTATGGGTTTTTTCTTTTTGAACTGCACCTCCACTTTTCTTGCAATATCAATCTTTGTTGTGTAACTGATTTTTAAGGTGTCCTTAAAGCCAAGTCTAAGAGTAAAATAAAGAAGTTTTTTAAGTATTGAGTTGCATATTAGTTTTAATCTGGGGAAAGACTGTTAAAGTCTGTCTAGGAGAAGGTCTTAAAATAATTCTGGGAATTTGAGCTCAGTGCCTTATAAATGAAGCACTGCTTGCGTAGCTACTCTGAATTTTTGAATGGAGTGTCAAAGCTTAAGTCGTGTCACACAAACAAAACCATACCTCTAAATGGTTCATTAAGCTATCTATCTGAGCTGTGAGATTAAGTAGGACTGTACTAGTGCCAGAGCAATATGAAGTTTAACACCCGGATAAACTACTGTCAGCTGTTACAGAAAACACTATCTGTGATATAGATAACTACTTGTTTAAGTAAGCAAACTGATTGCTAGTCAGCAGAACTGAAATGTGGATAGCATAACTTGAAGAGTAATCAAGTGTTCAAGAGTCTGTTCTTGCTCCTGAATGTTGCTGCAGAAATTATATCCATCCCTTACAGACACCTGCTAATCAGTTACCCAAAGGACTTCAGTGAGCCTTCTTTCAAGGATGGATAGAGTTAAGTCATGTAATTGTGCTTAAGAGGTATTCCAGTGTCTCTAGAAAATGTCAAATGTCATGTACTAAGATGCTGATTCATCTTAATATACAGTCTTGGTTCTTAAACATGTGTTAAAGGAACACTTGCCACGAGTCTTAGTCTGAAGTATTTCTCAAGCTATCTTTCCCGGTCCTCTCATACATGAGGAATGTATTGCAAAGTTGGAAATGCTCTGATGATGCACGATCAGCGTAAAACACCAGGTGATTTAAAAATCTGTCATGATGTGCATTTAATTAATAAACCTCTGGCAGCCTTAGTTTAGGATTGGTCAAATTGTTACAATATGATGCAATTCTTCTGTTCAGTACTAAACTGATTTGCAGAATGATTAATGTAGGAATTACTAGACTGCAAAGAAAGAAGTGTTGACAGTATTTAAATTATGCATAAGGAAGGAATGTATGTGTAAGCAGTGGTTCTCTTGCATTAATAATCTCTTGAACTTGAAGCTCTGAGCAGATCTGGGTTTGAGCCTCTAAACCAGGGGATTTAGAGGAGTACCTGCCTTAGTGAAGGTAGTGGTTGCCAACTCATGTTTCATGAGCTGAGGAACAAAGAAATCATTGAACTGACCGACTCTGTGGAAAGGCTAAGTCTATGTCAGTATAGGTTATGAAAACACGTGGGCTTTAGGATCCCAGAACCAGTTGCTTGGATATATTTTACTTCTGCTTGTCATGGAAACAGTTTCCATTGCACAAATTGAACTCAAATAGTCATTTGTTACCAGCCCTCAGGGAGGCAGAGACACCTGTTTGGCAGGAGCCCCACACAGCAATGTTGAACAGCTGTGGGAACCTTGGGATGGGGAGAGCAAAGGGACTCTTGCTGTGTTCAAGCTCTCTTGCCAGTCTAGAGGTGGGCAAATATTTTGCTTCCTTGGCTCCTCTGTCTTCCTGTCTTGTGTGATACTTGGTACATGAAGAGAGAAGCACTACAGATTTTTGGCTGGAGCAATTTTGTCTGACAGCCAACTTTCTTTGGTTTGTCATGTAGTGGCTAAGGTGTAACTGTTGATCCCTCCAGCACGTGTTGACATTAGGCTATGGTGTCTACAAGTTGAGTCACAGATCCAGCTAAAAAAGTTGCACAAGGAGAAGGTCAGTTAGAGGTAAAGAAGGTAAAGAGCATCATTATAAACCTGTTCAAACTGGCCTGCTTAACCTAGAGAGAAGTCCTGTGAATTGGGCAAGCTTCATCACTGGGTAATAGTAGTAGACTTGCCCTTCTACCAGATGTTGAAGCAGGTAGAATATTAAACATCAAAGACAGTTTTTACAAAGTCTTAAAATAATGAACTAGGATTTATATGCCGAAATAATTCTGTCCTGCTTGTGAAGTTGCTTTGGTGTACTTAGAAGCTTTGAATTCAGCCTATTCTCTCTTGAAGTAAAGAAGCAAACAGAAAAGCTTTGCTCTAATTGACATGCAGCTGAGATAACTGCAGCTACTTCCAATGTATCTGCTGTTTGAAGAGCTAATATTTGCTTGAGCAAGTACTTACTGGTAAGAGACAGGTACATGTTTTTGCAATAAAGGACACAATGCCACAGTAAACAAATTCCAAAGCCCAATATACCCCTAATATAAAAAGAGAAGGCAGAGATGCTATTTGTTTTTAAAAGTATCTTTATTTCTTAATTATTATATGGACTTGTACTCATTAATATAAAAAACATCTGCCAGAGGAAAGAAAACATTCTATGGATACCTCTGTTTATTTATTCCATAGACTACCAGCTAAATCCTGGAAGGTGCTCAGTGCTCTGGCTTCAAATCCAGTACGTGGTCTGCTAAAGTAACTTTATAGGTTGGGGTCCACAGCACTGAGTCCCTTGGGACACTAAGCACTGTGCCATGCTTTCAAATATAAACCAAATCAAACTCAAAGGACACTGAATGTAAATGTGGTATGAGGGCTGAAATTGCCCCTCCGTTTGAGATAGAAGTTTGAGTATTATGTAAAATAAAGTACTGAGAGAGTTGTGGAGTTATTACAGCCAAGTGGAATCATAAAGAAAAATCATTGAACTCTGTTTTCTTACAACTTTACCAAGGTACTAAAGAAGCTCTCATGTCAGAAACCACTGCTGAAGTTAAGAGGGTAATACAAAAACATCTGAAATTTGAGGCTGCAACCTTGCTGTGCTAAAAATGCTTTTTTAATGAAATGTGCCATTCATGTCTAATGTGTGCCTTCACAGTGATTGCTCTGGGAACAGGATCATTTTCTACCCCTGAGTAAATGTCACTCCTGAGGTGCATGCTGTAGGCTGTGTGCACTCTGAATGCTCATAAGGGTGATTGGAGAAGAACACAGTAGCATTTAAAAACAAAACAAAAGAAAAAAAAAAAAACACCCCTAAGCTCTCCTGGTAAAAAAAAAAAAAAAGGTCTTACCAATGCATTTGAATTTCAAGTGAGTAGAAAACAGTATGCTTTTTTTCCTATGCCTGCTAAGATGAGAGATTCAGCTATCTGTATTTTCCTTAGATGTCCTATGGCCAGCTATAGTCACAGTACAACCTGTGTACAATGATTTATGGAGTGCAAATTGGCATTTGTTGCTGCAAGGCAAACATTATAACCTCATCTTGGGCTTTAGCACATGAGCAACAGCAGGAGCTTTCCAAACTGTTTGGATTTAAAAATTACTTACTGTTATGTGTTGGTAGAATCAATAAATGAATGGGGATACTAATCTTCTTGCTGAAGTATTGCAGGCAACAACTCTTGTGAATTTAGATGGGCTTTTTTATTGTTTTCCCATGCTAACTATTTCCAGATGGTGGTAGTTTCAGGATAAAAATATTTTGAACAGATACATGGCTAAACACACTTAAGTGACAGGGTCTATCCTCCTCTGCAAAGGTGTTCCTTTGTTTATGTAAGGGACAGTAAATTAAAAACGTAGAGTGAAATATTAGGACAAAATATAACCTTCAGCATCAACTTGCCCTACTCTATTTCCCTTTCAAGAAAGCCTATGGAGAAACTATAGGGGGGATAACAAAATGACCTAAGCATGAGAAAATCAGTTTTTGAAAAACAGCATTCTAACTTAGGGAATATGAAGTAGGGGGGAAGAGAGGGGTTGTTTCTATGGAAAAACCTCCAAGGGGTCCCTGAAGGAGATTGAGAAATGCAATTTCATGTATATTATAGTGCAACCTACATATGAAACTTGCAATGGCATACATGCTTCCCTCAAAGATCACCGTTCCAGAAAGATTTCTAGACAAATCTTGAGATAGCACACTTTTTTTGTAGTTTTTAATCACTCTATTAAAAAAAAAAAAAGGCAACCGAGCCCAGATTTCTGCCTACAGGTATGTGGTTAGTTTATTTAGTTAGTTAGTTAGTTTAGCTTTCCTAGGATGCTTTGAAATAACTAGTTTTACCCACTTTTCTTCCCTGATGTTTTTAGGTTGGCTACCGCTCTTCCTATACAGTCCACAACATGCAAGGGTGGCTGAGTCCTATAATAAATAGCAGTCTGACCCTAGTTTAGAAGAAGAGGAATATAATTTTAATGAAGCTAGCTAATGCCCTTTAAGTTCCTCCCCAGAAAGTCATGATCATATCACTTTCTGCCTGTTGTTTCTCCTGTGATACCTCTCTTGTGACTGCGATGTTCCTACACACAATTGTAGCAGTGCAGTCCATGTGGGTTTTGAAGAACATAAAGCAAGTCTTGATGCCACAGTTTGAAAAGCAGCACTGTGCCTTCCCCTGCAGGGACAGACCCTCAGGAGGGATGGAGTGTGCCCAGCTGGGTGCACGTGGAGCTTCCAGAGCAGGCAGGTAGGGACTGAGGAGTGGCTGCTTGGGTTGCTCAGCACTTAAGTCATGTTCTTCAGGGACTGTAAAGGGCCTTTATGAGGCTGCTCATGATTTGTTGCAGGGTGGGCTTGGCTGATGGTGTTTATGTTTGCAAGTATTTTTAGACCCTGACTTCACTTTTTTTCTGTGTATAACAGTATTGTCTGGATCTTAATCAGACCTTCAGACCAAGCTTTTCTGATATCAGAAAAGATTGTCCTTGATGGCAAAAAGAACCAGCTTCATCTGCTGTTGACTAAGAACATCCCTAAAAGTTTGTCTCATTCTCAAGGATAGAACCAAGACAGCCTGCCAGATTGATTTGTAGGGAAATCTTTAAGTCATCTAACCAATGGGTGAGGAGAGAGGATGGAGTGAGCCAGGGGGTTAAGCATGCATTTAAGTGTTTCCACCCAAAGCAGCTGCAGCCATGCACTTCATGAGCCCGCTTGTGACTGCCTGGAAAGCCTGAGATTCAGTGTGACCTCACTAAGGCAACTATTAGACCCATTAACTCACAAAGAGAAGTTGTGAGAAAGAAAACTTGCACACACATGCTCACAGATGGAGGGTGGATACAGCGTTTTCCTGAATAAAAAGTGAACTCTGTCAAT